TAAATTTTATACTTACTCCTAAATCTCTACAATTATCAATGTGAACATAAACAGTTTTAGGTCTAGCTTGTATACTACATATCAGAGTGAGACTCTTTGTCTTATTTCGATCTTCATCTCCGCTTTCCCAAAATGTTTCCGTCGAATTGTCGGTTAAACTGTTAACCATAGCTTGACGACTAGAAGCTTTGATATCGACTAATGATGTAACGTCTTTCAAAGATTCGACGACTGCTGTCACCTAAAGTATGTTATGTGTAATTTTAAATAAAACATCATTTATCTACATATAAATAATTGTATATTAGCATTTATTTTTATTTAAAAATTTTTAATAAATGCTAACTTTTTCAATTAATTTAATCTTACAATACAATGCTGTCATCATAATAAATAGTTCAGTCACAGATGTTTATTTATATACTGTTAAATATTAAATTTATGGAAGTTTTTCAGCTTTCTTTCAGGAAAAAAATATCATCTTAAAAATTAAAAGTTTATTAACTTCAAATGGGAGCTACAACAAATTCCAAAACTTATTAATCATTACTAATTAATTAATCATAATGAATTACTTTTTAATATTTCAATCAAACATTATTACATTGTAATTTGTCAAAAGAGTATTATGGAGCAGATCATTGTATAAGGTTTCTTTTTTTTTATCTATCTTAATTACAAAAATAAAAACTTTGCCTAAAAGTTTTATATTTTGTATAGAAAGTATCTTGTAAAATATGTTGTAGATCAGTGATAAGCAAACTTATCTGAATGCGAGTCAGAAGTGCATTTCATAGTCTTCCAACAGGCTACATGATTTTCCTCTTGTGGAGTTACAGGCTTTAAGCATGCCAAGTACCAACAATTCTCTGTAACTACGAGTTTATTAAATACTCAAATAATATACTTTAGTGACATGCAAATTAATATTATTATTCTCATATTTTTTATTACTCAAATTTAGTATAAACATTCTTCATCACAAAAATCAACTTAATTACAGTTGAATAATGACATGAGATAGAAAAAGCAAAATAAAATTATGTTGCTAAAGCTCTAGGGCAACAACACATTAGGATCTTGGAGTGAACAGCTATTTATCTCAGTGTTAGATGTGTATTCCATACTAGAAATATACTGCATTGTCAACAATTATCTCTGAACCAATATAATAGAAAATGTTAATGTAAATAAATATCACATAAAGCTAGGTTCATAATGGCATACAAACCACTACAAAGTAGATACAAACTGACAGTTTATCCCTGTTCAGCAAGTATTTGACCAGTTTATTATGAGTTAAAGTTCAATAAAAGTTGAGATATTCTCAACTTTACTGAACTTCAGTTAATTTGACCAATCAATTTTTAACAAATAGTGTTCAAAACCTTTTTAATCAATCATATCCTAACTTAGTTTGTGTTACAGTACAATGCTGACAATATCTCATTTTGGGTTAGTGTTCATTTTGTTCATTTGTAGTGGTTCATACGACAATGTAAACCAAGCCCATGTTTATGTAGAAAGAAATATAATCTTCTGTTTCAAACAATTTTGCAGGTGCTTCAAATAAATATTTACTTGACAATTAAATTTCTTTTATTAAAGATTTTCTCAATTCAAAACTTGACTTTCTCTATTTAAAGATGATGATTTTTAAACATTATAACATTTATAATATGAATAAATATTACCTGACTGCTATCTGCGGATGTATTTCCTACATCTTCACCTTCTTCTTCCGTTCTTGATAAAATCTTGCTAATATTTGAAAAGACATGACTTCTGTGTAAAAAACTATGATCAGAAGGCTGAAATTTTAAACACCAACATCTCATTGCCATTTGTTGTAATGCTGAACCCATAGGAAGAAGCATCATTAAATCTGATATAGTCTGCAACAATGCATGAAATGTTTGAGGAAGTGGATGAGCTGCTTCTCCAGCAATCGTTATATCTGATAATGGATGTTCGCATACACTTAGATCTTTATCCTGCAATTAAATAAAATTTAATTTTATGTAAATATGTCGTTTGTAAGTGACAATTACACTTATTTCCTTAATACAATTTTTCATTTTAATATCTTTTTATCTGCTGTTATTCTAAATTAATAACAGGTTTCCAAATTTTATAAATACAATAATCATATATACAGATTTAACTACTGCAGCTTCTATACTCAGATTAACTTGACGTAAGCCAGCTTCTTTATAAAGAAAACCTAATGAATCTTAGTATTTATAACATTTGTTCTTAAATTAACAATGAAAATCATAAACTGTTTTGTATATTATCGACCAGCTGGTGCTTGTTTCTAGGAAGGAAATCAGATAAAGTGTAAGAACTTATTATTCTTTAACACTGAAACTGCTGTACAAATTGATAATAAAATGATCTTTCGTATGTTTCCAGCAATGCCATTGATATAAACAAAAACCAGCAAACGTTTTCAACCTCATTCAGAGGCCAGTGTCAGGCTTCTATAGAAAATTTTTAGCAGAACTTTTAAAATATGGATAAAATCGTTTCACATTCTTTGCCAAAAGTTCTGCTAAAAATCTTCTATATAAATCTGATGCTGGCCCCTGAACAAGATCAAAACGTTTGCTGCTTTTTGTTTATATTGACAGCAATGCTGGAAACATACGAAAGGCCAGTTTATTATCAATTTNTTTATTCTGAAATATTATAAATTATTTAATAAATATTAATTTAATTAAATTATTAAATTTAATAAGCGATGGTGCGTAACACCTACCTCTAGTACTGAATAAAGTATTTAATGATTAAAAGTAGTGGTAAAGTAATCTGAATTAAATTCGGCAATCGTTTGGTTTAATTTAGAATATTCTGGATGGAAAAAACAATTCTGAAATGTAACTCAAATCCACAACTTCTGCTTACTATGCAGACCTCTATCCAAATCAGAATCAGAGCCTCTTCCTTAAGAGGCTCTGATTAACTATATTCCATATCTAGTCTCGGATTTCATCTATTTAACTCCATTCTTGAGATTAAGGAAAGAAAGACAGACGAACAACAGTGGCAATTTATAGGTTATAGCCCAATTATTCTAAATCATTACTTAGATTTAAGGACTAGAAATTTTCAAAATTAATTTAAAAAAAAAAAAAACTTTAACTGTAATATATATAATTATATATCAACTAAAATAATTAAATGTGAATACCTGATGCTGGCCCCTGAACAAGATCAAAACGTTTGCTGCTTTTTGTTTATATTGACAGCAATGCTGGAAACATACGAAAGGCCAGTTTATTATCAATTTTCAGATAAAATGAAAACTGTTTTAGAATTTAAAATATTCAAATTTATAAAAAAAAAAAAATAATTCAGTCAGTATTTTGTTTAAAATTCAATCTAATTACACTTCTAATAAACAAGAAAGGGATAGAATAGACATTCAAGAATATATCTAGAAAATAAGGTATTTTAATTGGATCACTTTGAATTTAAGAAATACCCACTTTTAAAAATAGATTTTAAAGAAAAAGTTACTGATAATTAGAAATAAATCAAACAATATAACCAGATTCTTATCAGATCACAATATGGCTATTTAAATATTAAGATAACTAATAATATTTACTACTCAATCTTGCAAATGCAAAAGTACCAGCAAATATTAAGATACCAAGCAATTTTAGACTAGATGTAGGCATT